TTTCGTGATGATATCTTTAATTCTCTAAATTTGGTGAATATTTTTGTCATTTTTGGTAAAAAGTGATACTTTCAACTTCTTGTTAAAAATCGCAAGTCCAATTGCTTTGATATTACATATATAGATACTACATATGGACCACTCTCAAATTTGTTCATTTCATGATGATATCTTCAATTCTCTAATTTTGGTGAATATTTTTGTCATTTATGGTCAAAAATGATATTTTTGAATTCTTGTTGAAAACAGCAAGTCCCATTGCATTGATACTATGCATATTGTTCATTTTCTAATGATATCTTCTGTTCTTTAATCGAAATGTGCATTGCTAACAGCGGAGCTATCTCAGCCGAGAGGCTGCTTGTTTCTTTTAGTATTATGGTATATTTCTGACAGGTCAATTATGATATAAAGTGCAATTAAATTTACATTACATCTTTGTCATATTCTGTTGATTTTGCTATTGTTTGTCTACCTTTTTCTATTTCTAAATAGTACTACTGTAAAATCAGTATTAGAAGCTGCAACTTCTATTGAAATGATACAATGCAACAGAGGGGATGCGGCTTCTATTAGAGCATTCAAGCAATAACATCTCTCACCTGCTGTAGAGTCAACGTTTTCCCATGCAGCTGCACCTCCAAGTACATCATCCAATTCTTTCAACTTTGGATACTTTTTACTAGAAATCTGACAAAAAAGAATACACCATAATACTGTCATGATTTTCTCACAAACCAATCAATGCTCGAGGTTGGGAGAGTTTTCGGTCATTAATTGATACAGGGCAATACCACCATAAATGGGAGGGGGTCATCGATTTGATCATGACTTAATGCATACCTTCATTCCATATTTCAAAACACTTTTGCTGTTTTCCCAGCATACGCTTGACTTCAGCATCACAATTATTTCTATGGCTAATCTGTTTGTCAGATTTGTTAAATTGTAATTATGACCCAAATAAATAAACATGCCTGCATCCCAAGTAATATAATCTGCATAATAATATACAAATCCCCTGTTAAAATCACAAATGAGACTACATTTTATGATACTTGACTCTTGATTTTCATTGATTCTATACCAAGTGATGAAGATGGCGGAAGTAGCGATAATAAGTGCACATGTAAATAACATTGTTACCTTCCTATTGAAGTGAGGGAGTCGTCACCTGCGCATGACAGCCATAGCCATTCTCCTTCCAGAGTTCCTTGCAGTTAGAACATCTAAACTATATATTCGTAGAATAAGAACTCTGCGTGGGAAATTGGGTCATAACGTGTAGTTGTTTACCCATGAGCCTTTCTAGCATGTATTGTTATTGTCGCTTAGGACTTAATTTTTGTGCATGCGAAGATGATGATCCCTTCACTTTAAATTGTTTTGTTGGTCCTTTTTAAGTCTGGAAATGTTGCTAAGATTGCACCTCGCAGCAGTCCAGGGCGCCACCTACGCCAACTTGTCAGGCTACTCTGCGGTTAGTGAATGACAATGATTTTCACTGGCAAATAAACATAGTATTCTACTAATCCGAATATGCTAATTTTCTGAACAATGTGTGACAGTTGTGATTTCTCCTTATCAAATGACAGTTGCTACAGAGACAAGAGTGCGACCGTCCCATTCTTGTAGGAGTTACTTTGGGCCCCCTCACTCGTAACTCTAATCCTAACCATGCCCCTCTAGTGCTTCTCTCCCATTTCAATTGTATATACCCCTCTTCAGGTCCCATTTAGTTATTTGGAGGGGCATATTGAATTACATTGTTAGGGTTAGGGTTAGGGTACAGGTTAGGGGTAAGGGGGCATTAATAAACTCTTTCCCCCATGACAGAGAGATGGCCACACAGCCCTGTCATGTAGTCCCAAACATGAATATGACTTCTGTGGCAAATGCACTATGTGTCAGCACTAGCACTTGCAATTTGCACATACAAAAAAAAAAAGTCAGGAGAGACAACAGTGACATTCAATGTCCAGAACTGTCGCCTGGCACAAAAATATTTAAAAAAAAAAAAAAAAACTCTTTCCCCCATTCTTTGTAAAATTTACATAGGGCCCACGAAATATTAGGAAGCTGTAAACATCTCGAGTCTATTATTTGAGACATTTCTTTTACATAATGTATGTCGTCGTGGGAATTTATATTTGTTTTCTATTCACCAGCTACAATTTTCCAAAATCCTCCAGTTCTGTCCCAGTTTTCAGATAGGGACTCCGTAACCAATCAAATATAAATGTCGAAATAGCTCACCTTTCTGGTAACGTTATGAATAAATGGACATGTATTGCAAGAAAAGCGATACGACTTCGGACCTTCCTCAACAACTAAGACGTTGGCACAGGTCGGACAAAACATCAACATTATTAAATGTTTTGATATATCAATTCCTGACAGTATTCACCCATCCATTTGTCTTGAACTCACTTCACTACAGTATCTTTGCATGACCATCTGCATGACCCAACACAGTAAACAGCGCCACCAACGTTGTAATGATAACCTATGTTGTCCTCCAGTAACGCTCGATTTGTTAAAAGCCGATTTCCTAACATTTATGAATCATATGCTATTTAGATTCATTTTTGATGTTAGTGTTTTACAGTTCTGCTTCTGGAGTACGATTGGATGAAACATTTCTCACTTTCATTCACAAACAATTTCCGAACAAACAAACTTTTAAAGATGGCGGCTTACATTACAGACTTGTGTGCGTAAATAAATCGTGCCATTTTTTTCGAAATTTTGGACATTCTCAAAACAGTCCATGATATTGGATATCACAGTCAGAATCAATGTCAAATGTTATTTTAATCCATTATCCCGGGCAACGTTGTGGTAAGTGGAAACTGCTTAACAAATCAAAGAGGGAAACCGCAGGCGAGGCGGTCTTTACTTTTCTAGTCAATCGAGACCCCGAGGATATGTCGGGACAGTGTACAATTTAGTGGTGCTTGTGCACATGTAAATGTCTTGGGGGGCGATAAATCCTTTTACCCCTAAGCTAAAGCCTGACACTCTCCCCCAATATGAATATCCCCCCGGACAACTAACTTATCAACCATATATTTTTTTTTCTTTCTATTATTTAGCTATTTTATTAATTACTGTATTTTACTTTCCTTCATCTGATCATTTATTTTTTATTGTTTATGTTTTTCTAAAACATATTTACTTTATTGTAATCAATTTAATACCCCAAAGAGGGTACAATGTCAATAAAGTTTACTTTACTTACTTACATGTACTTAATAATATTAATAATAAAAATTCATTACACCGTAATGAAATTACAAATTCATTTTTTGACTAAAAGTAATAAAAATAATAAGTAAAAATAGAAAGTTAAAATAAGATCAGGCAGTAAAAATGAATGCAGTTTGTGTTTTTCAAAACGAACTTTCAGATGCTGTGTCACAAGTTATTTATACATGTATATCAAAATTTTGACCATTCTCGCTTCTTCCTCACGTACATAGCATACTTAAAAACAGTCATTCTTACATATGTGAAATTGATGCGATGTTTCGTATTTTACATGAGAACATACTCAAAAACAGACATTTTCATGCACATGTAAATGATCTGACATCTGGTTATTTTTAAATTACGGAAGATCGTGCTTAAAAAACAGTCATTCTTACGTATGTTAGAATACTGCGGTATCTCATTGTTTAAATTTACGTGAGATCATACTTAAAAAAACAGTCATTCTTACGTAAGTGAAATTGATACGATGTCTCGTTAAAATTTACATGAGAACGTACTTAAACACAGCTATTCTCATGCACATGTAAATGATCCGACATTTGGTTATATAAATTTAAGTGGGAACATACTTAAAAACATACATTCTTACATACATTAGAATAGCTGCGGTGTCTCGTTGTTTAAATTATGTGAGAACATACTTAAAAACATTCTTACATACATTCTGATAGAGTACATTACTAGAAAACAGTCAAGTCAAAAGATCAATATTGTACAGGCCTTTAACTTGATTAATGTCTTCTAATCATGAGCCTTAATACATGTAGCAGTGGTTTTCAAGTTCTCTAACATCATGGAAGGTAAATCAGTGAATTACAATACATAAATAGACTACAACTTGCAACAAGTACATGCCGACCCAAATAAACTTAACATTCTTCTGATTTTCGTTGGTTATTGTTTATGGCGAGGATGCGTCTCATAGAACAATAAATGTGGAAATAATGGTCCATAGTAAAGGTTCAGAAATCAAGCATGGCGGTAATGATTTTGAGCCTGGTGGTCTCTCGGGGTAGAATGGCGGCTCTGCCACGCTATTTGTATCTTGGATGTTAGCTACTTCTTGTAACTCCTTCTTTTAAGACATTACACTGGATATTAGTATGAATATGTATTTTTTTCCTTACTTGGCATGGGCTTCTGCTAGTTTTCTTAACCATCAGACACTTACATGTAAGTACAAGATGTTCAAGTGTTTGCTGAAATTGGTCAGCAATCATTGATGGATTGATCAGAAAAGTTTATTTGTTTGAAATTATTTCTGTTTTTAAGTACAGTTGGTAGAGACTGGTTTCTGTTCACCATTTGTATTTTCTTGGAACCTTCGTGAGTCCAATATTTTGATTTAATACCATAAAATCTGTATTCGAAGCCGCATCCCTAATAGAAGTTGCATCCATTCATTTTCAACAATTTTGAACTAAATATTCACCATTTCTTATATGTGTAGATGCTCTAATAGAAGCTGCATTTCCTGTGTTGTACCATTTTAATAAAAGCCGCAGATTCTAATACAGATTTTACAGTAGTCTAATTATCTTTAAAGGATGGTAATTTGATGACTGTCGTTAAAGCGGGGGATTTGTCACCTGCGCATGCTTTAGATGGCTATGTCAGATGAATCTTTGCATTTTTAGAGTGTGTTGTAATCATCGCTTGAGACTCAATTCCAGTGCATGCGCAGGTGACGAATCTCGTTCTTTAACTGTTAATTGTCAGGTGCTAAGTGGGATTCATGTATTTTAGAATGCATGATATAATTTTGTAGAGAGATGTCAGTATTGAATAGTCCACTGTACTTGAACCATTACAAATCATCACCAAAAGTATTTGTCATTGTGTCCATATTATGTCTTTTAGTGGTTACAATATCAAACGAATAGTGATCTGGTGTTGGTACGGGATTGAACAGTAAATCGAATATCTGCCCAAACTCTGTCTGATGTTGTTCCACTGAAATCGCAAATGCTTCTGGGTGAATTGGAATAGGACTTGGTTCAGGGCTACTATGTTATGAACTCCAGACTTGGTTAGATTTTGGTAAAAATCATAATCATCAGTTTCAGCATTTTCATTGTATATCTTTGCATTTGTTTGCAGAAATGCATTGAAATTTGGTACATGATTGATGTATGCACAGAATTATAACTGATAACAGAATTGATCATCTCAAGTAATTTGCATATTAATTAAGCAATTACAATTTTTTACTTTGATAGTAAATGCAGCTGTGCCTAATTGATATCAGCTGACTGGATTGACTGTGTGGTATGCATTGTATTAACTATGGACGACTCATCTGATACGGAACTGAATTCAGTCAATGAAACCAGCAACCATGATGCAGAAGAATCTACGGTCTCCCATAAAAGAGCGATGGAGATATTCAATGATGGAATGAAAGAAATACTACAAGACCCATTATTGAGCGACTTACCATTGGACGTCACAGAGGAGGAAATTAATCATCAAATTGCACTGGAATATGGACAGGCATTGACAGTGAAAGTCCGTAAACAAAATGGTGAAGTCATACGTAAGTGTGGTTGCAGTTATCAGTGTATCATTCAGTGCACTGTTCTGTGTATCAGTAAACTGAAGTCTTGAGGGGCCGTGGATGAGTAAAGGAGGGGGAGGAATAACTAGGAAATATACATTTGCTTTGCACATATTTAAATTATCGATGCCAGGATAATTTGCATAACAATATATTATGTTAATCACCTCTATTGTTATGCTCAATATCTCTATTGTTCATCACAAATTAAGTAGTTGGGAACCCCTACTCTTTTACATCCTGGGGTGAACCCTGCATGTCCTATTGAGATTACAGTCACAGCGACTTCAGTACCTCCATTAACAGTAAACATTTCATTGGGGTCCTTTTAGTCCCAAGTACAGTATATGCTTCTAAACAAAAGGGATTATTTCCTTGCAAGTCTTGTGTAGTAAACAACCCCAGCCAAGCTGTGTTTACTTGTAGATCCATTATGTACGGTAGTGCGAAAGTAGATGTATGTGAATATCAGAACAGTGAGTATATGTTGTATTTATGGAAATAAATAATGTAAATCTTAAGATTTTTTAAAGGTAAAAACACATAAACCGGTATAGCAATGCACTGCTAAGATTGAAAAATTACTTTTAACATTGATGCATTAAAACATGAGGTGTCAGTCTAATTTTCAAGAACTTTCACAGTTCCTAATGCATTACTGTAAGATGAGTTACTGTAAAATATTTTTTGCTATTTTCACTGGAGGGATGTAATGATTCAATGAAAATAAAATTCAGTGATTTCATATACCTTTTTCCCTATAATTTGCATTTAACTCGTCAAAAATCAGTAAAAATAAATTCCATACAAAACATCCAAAAAGTATTTGACAGTAGAACTTATTTAATGCATATATTTTCTTTCAGCCGTAGTCGTTCTTCAGGGGGCCACAGTACGTGATTTGAGAAATGCAATAAAAAGGCATTTCACTATGAAACTTGAAAGAGAAGGTGGGAATAAGTTCATCAGCTGGTAAGTGTGGTGTTTCATCTCTGGACAATGTATCAATCAATAAAAATCATGTGAGAAATCATGATGTTGGATTGATTTTATTTGGGTTCAATATCATCACTGATCTGTCATGCATATAATCCAGTTTGTGTTTTGGTTGGCACGCCATCTTTGATTTGAGTAGACATCAACAATCAGTGCAGTTTGGCAATTTGATTATGATATTGATTGTATTCTTTATTTAAAGCGCGAGGGTCGTCACCTGCGCACGTTTGGGAATTGAGTCCCAAGCATTGATAACAACACACGCTAAAATGCAAAGGCTCATGGGTATACGCTTGTCTGTAAACGATGACACGCTATGGCCATCTGACGCATGTGCAGGTGACGACCCTCTCGCTTTAAATAAATAAACAGCGTCTATTCATAACACACACTGATTCAAAGAAGGTCAGATCAAATATAGACAATGATTATTATATACATGCTTGACGTTTTACTCTAAATGCAAAAGGTCATACTAGTCGTCTCCCAGATGAACACGTGCCATCATTTTGATGACATATCTTTATATAGACTGTACCTTTGCTTCCAATCAATTATTGTTTCAGTAAAACACCAAACTCATTTTGAACTGTCAAGCTGAATAGGTAATAACAACTCATTATCATGTGTTTATTATTATAGTGGATAAAATTAAGGAAAAGAAAGTGGTTAAGAAACAAGGCCAGAAAGTTGCAGTAATACATTATATAAATTTATATCAGTTACTTTGTTTTTTTACTAGGCGATATATATGGAAGACTTACTGGCTTTGTTTTGAAGAAGAAAAACTAACTGAAATCAATAAAAAGATAAAAGAGTAAGTTAGTAGTTGTCTAAAATTGCAAATGGTTTTGGGTTAAATACATCTGTATCGACAGAAATGAGAATTATCTTTCAATTTCCATATTTTTTTATCTTTTTGACCAATAGTACTAAAGCAGCTCATCTGTAAAGTGCCAGATGAATAAAGACATTGCATGTACACATAATAATCATGTGGTCAGAATATTCATTTTAAAACTCACTTAACATCTGATTGATTTCATGTATTTTAAATACTACTGATAGTAAGGCCTTAAAACAAATTATTATAAGGAAATTTAAGATTTCACAAGAACTCTTGGAAAGTGTTAACTTTCATTATTCTGTGATTATTTACAGTTATGGTATCAGGAACCGAGATGAAGTGACTTTTGTTAAGAGATATCGAATACAATAGAAATCTGACTCGAGATGTTCCTTTCATAATGTAAACACTGGAAAATTCTCATTGACTATAATAAGTATAGAAAGAAAATGTTGACAGAAATCTGTGCAAGAAACACGAGATTCAGATATATCATAAGATTTTATTTCCAAACTGCATCTAACAAAATATACACATATACACTTCAATACAATTTTACAATTACTAAACAAAAAAATGGCCGCTTACATTCTGGCGTTTATCATAGCCATATTTGAATTAGAAAAATTCAGTGGCACTATAAAAGTCACATTACCTGTTCCATAGTGTGCAATACATTCTAGCTTGAGAAGGATTAATATATAATTCATTTCTAAAAAAATAGTATCATTTGTTGATGACTTTTGACATACAGTACCAGTTTTATTCCCCCTAGCTCATTCCATAATTCGTATGAATAGAAGTACATTGTTTTTAAAGATGAAATTATATGTAAACATGTATATGAATGTTCAAAGTACATGATGGTAACTAAGTTTGTAATCTCAAAGTAAGTGAAATAAATAATTTTTTGTAAACTAAAAGTCTAGTGTGTAGGTCAGTTGGATTTATCCATTTCATACAGGAATCGGTATATTGTTCTATCATACCTGGTACACATCGTCAGCAAGCGCGGAATGTAAAAAAAATATATGTACATGCTGTGTTTGAAAAGATAATATTAGTATATATTGTTAAAAAAAAAAAAAACATTTCGGTTCATGTGCATTTGTGATACGCTAAAACATGGGGTACCGGTATTTACAATCTACATTCCGGCAATAATTTGGGCATTTTCACCGCATTGCAACCATCATGATGAAAACAAGGGCTGAAAACGGTACTTTGGGATGATTGTTGAGACTCCCCTGAACAGTGTAACAAGATTACCGGTAGCCCTGCTTGTGTAACGCATATAAATTTGATTGTTCAGGATTACTTCAAAGTTGGGTTCCTGTTTTCTCGATTTTTCACCGGCTCCGCGCTCCTCAGCAGCCCGCACAAAGCCCATAAAAATACGTGGTACAGTTGTACGCGTCTTGGCAACGTAGAACGTCCGTGACGTAGCTCCGCCCCGAGGATAAGTGTTTTACACAATATATGTCACTTCAAATAGTAAATAATAATTCAATAATATCTGGAATGAAATAAGCTGTCAAAAGGTTGAGTCCATTTAAAATGTATTACATAGTTATGTATAACAATAATTTTTGTCATAAACACAAAAGCGAATTATTACAGCCACAAATGTGACAATTCGATTACAGATGATCTTTGTTGTGTGTATCCTTCTCTGAGGAGATTATGAAGTACATAATTGGTCTGAGCTCCTCGGTTCAGCCTCAATACGTTATCGATAGTATTCAAATTGCTTCTTTTCCACATATATCTCATCACCATCCATGATATCAAATCGACTCATTGGTAGTGATTCTAAGAATAATTCCTGGAACACTGGTTCTCCATTGTCATCTACTACGTTCTTAGACATGTGAAACATGCGTATGTGTCTGGAAAGAAATACACTATTCTTAGATAAAAACAAAGAAGATTAATTTATAAAGTTTTAATCACAATCTGGAATTAAAACTAGCAACCACCTGCCCAAAGTGACCATATTAACCTTTTCACTACCAGAATTTTTTGCCAAAAAAATTTACAATATTTATTGAAATGAACCCTAATTCTGGAGCCAACAGACAACATTTATATTAAATTTTCAGTTTTTACTCAAAAAATTAGCTGTTTTTGTCCCAATCTTCTGAAGAAAAGTGCAAACTATAAATGGAACTATTTTGTGAATTTGTAATGAAAAGAGGGAACTGGTAGTAAAAAGATTAACATCTGTTTATGTTTAATTGCCTAAACACCACTCTACACCTGAAATGCAACTAAGAACATCCTTGCCTTTCAGAGTATCTCTTCCCTCCAGGAGCACAAATGGAGTGCCACACTAAATATCCCCAATCCCACCCAGAGCACAAATGTTCAAAAATTGACAATTTTAATTACCTTCTATGTAGAGATGTTAGATTTGAACATGTTGATTTCAGTTTGCCAATAGCGTCTTTAAGCTTCACATGAATTTCATCAACACATTTACCATTGTACATGATTTTTATATCTGCATCTCTCTTAAAAGGCTTTCTCATGTATAACTTGTAATTCTTTTCAAGTTTACCTGTAAACAAATACTTAATTTATCAGTTGATGTGTTAAGGGATCTTATCTCAGTACAACAAACTCATTGGTAGCGACTGATAATGAAGACCATTATATATAAAGTGTTTCAGGTTGTAGGAATAAAGACTGGCTGCAGTGCATGATGTTGTAGTGATGTAGATCTTCACATATTGCATTAGGTTTCGGTGGGATAGACCAGCAGTAATGCATCAGGTTGTAGCAGTAGTGTATTAGATTGTGGCGGTATATACATGCTGTAGTGTATTAGGTTGTGATGGTATAAACCTGCTGTAGTGTATTAGGTTGGGATGGTATAAACCTGGTGTAGTGTATTAGGTTGGGATGGTATAAACATGCTGTAGTGTATTAGGTTGGGATGGTATAAACCTGCTATAGTGTATTAGGTTGTGATGGTATAAACATGCTATAGTGTATTAGGTTGTGATGGTATAAACCTGCTATAGTGTATTAGGTTGTGATGGTATAAACCTGCTATAGTGTATTAGGTTGTGATGGCATAAACCTGCTATAGTGTATTAGGTTGTGATGGTATAAACCTGCTGTAGTGTATTAGGTTGTGATGGTATAAACATGCTGTAGTGTATTAGGTTGGGATGGTATAAACCTGGTGTAGTGTATTAGGTTGTGATGGTATAAACCTGGTGTAGTGTATTAGGTTGGGATGGTAAAAACATGCTGTAGTGTATGAGGTTGGAATGGTATAAACCTGGTGTAGTGTATTAGGTTGTGATGGTATGAACATGCTGTAGTGTATTAGGTTGGGATGGTATAAACATGCTGTAGTGTATTAGGTTGGGATTGTATAAACCTGGTGTAGTATATTAGGTTGTGATGGTATAAACCTGCTGTAGTGTATTAGGTTGTGATGGTATAAACCTGCTGTAGTGTATTAGGTTGGGATGGTATAAACCTGGTGTAGTGTATTAGGTTGGGATGGTATAAACCTTGTGTAGTGTATTAGGTTGTGATGGTATAAACATGCTGTAGTGTATTTGGTTGGGATGGTATAAACCTGGTGTAGTGTATTAGGTTGGGATGGTATAAACCTGGTGTAGTGTATTAGGTTGGGATGGTATAAACCTTTTGTAGTGTATTAGGTTGTGATGGTATAAACCTTGTGTAGTGTATTAGGTTGTGATGGTATAAACATGCTGTAGTGTATTAGGTTGTGATGGTATAAACGTGCTGTAGTGTATTAGGTTGGAATGGTATAAACCTGGTGTAGTGTATTAGGTTGGGATGGTATAAACCTGGTGTAGTGTATTAGGTTGTGATGGTATAAACCTGCTGTAGTGTATTAGGTTGTGATGGTATAAACATGCTGTAGTGTATTTGGTTGTGACTGTTTATACCTGCTGTAATGTATTCGATTGTGGCAATATATACAAGCTAACAAAATATGATAGGGGTTCTTTGAAATATGTTGATAAACAGTGTTTCAGGTTTGATCACAATAAAATGGCACTAAATTTGTACTAGATTTAAACTTATGTTCAGAGAAGAATTTCCAACATACAATGAGTTTTTTTACAGTATAACAAATACAATGAGCGTCTTTCAGTACTACAGACAACTCTAGTAAGTACAACACAAAATTCAACCTTGGTGGTTATCTATAAACTACTGGCAAGTATGTTGAGGGATTGTATTATTTATTATAAAAACTAATTATTGAGTTACTATAATAGAATTTCATTTATTCTCCATAGAAATACATTGAATTCTATGGACTCTTTTCATAAAGGCAACTATGTACAATCACGGTCATGTAATCCCCCTTGTCAAATATTCACCATATATCTTGGTAAGCTCATGGTATCTATTCGGTGGAGATTCTTCATCTGCAAAATACCTCACATAATGAATCTCAGCTTTCTCTCTTTCATTGCCTGATACTTCACTCCCATTCAGTATCTTAATTCTCGGCAGGCTGAAGTATTAGATAGAAAAGTAGTTCAGGCTTTTTAGGTAATTAAGCAAACATACACAAACCTCCCAGACCCAAAATATGATGAATTTTTTGTGCTGAACAACAAACAAGCAGCCTGTTGGCTGAGATAGCTCCGCTGTTAGCAATGCACATTTCAAATAAAGATATCATTAGAAAATGAACAATATGTATAGTATCAAAGCAATAGGAGTTGCTGTTTTCAACAAGAATTCAAAAATATCACTTTTCACCAAAAATAATCATAAAAATTAGATAATTGAAGATATCACCACGAAATTAACAAATCTGAAAGGGGTCCACATGTAGTACCTATATATGTAATATAAAAGCAATCGGACTTGCGGTTTTCAACAAGAAGTCGAAAATATCACTTTTTACCAAAAATTACAAAAATATTCACTAAAATTAGATAATTAAAGATATCATCACGAAATGAACACATCTGAGCGAGGACCACATGTAGTACCTATATATGTAATATCAAAGCAATTGGACTTGCAGTTTTTAACAAAAAGTCGAAAATATCACTTTTTACTAAAAATGACAAAAATATTCACCAAAATTAGAGAAATAAAGATATCATTACAAAATGAACAAATCTGAGAGTGGTTCACATGTAGTACCTATATATGTAATATCGAAGCAATTAGACTTGCGATTTTTAACAAGAAGTCGAAAATATCACTTTTTAACAAAAATGACAAAAATATTCACTAAAATTAGAGAATTGAAGATATCATCATGAAATGAACAAACCTGAGAGAGGTCTACCCAAGGTACATATACACCAAGTATTAAAGCATTCAGGCTTGTAGTTTTCAAGAAGAAGTCGAAAAAGTAAAACATTGACACGGACAATCACTCATATGATAAGCTCCGCTCGACAAAGTCGACAGCGAAGCTAAAAAGTATTAAAAGCAACAAAAAATCAACATATGATAGATCTAATTTGATTGATATCTAGAGTATGACTGAACAGTAAAAATTAACATAGAATATTGTTTTGAAACACTGGCAGTATTGTTTGAAATATTTAGATTTTAATGACAAAAATTGCAAATTTGAATCTGGTAAGTAAGTGGGCCATATAGGGTTTGGAAGTTTATGTAAGGTCTCCAGGGTGTTTAAAGTCATAACAAGCAGCCTCTCGACTGAGATAGCTCCGCTGTTAGCAATGCACATTTCAAATAAAGATATCATTAGAAAATGAACAATATGCAATTGGACTTGTGGTTTTTGACAAGAAGTTGAAAATATCACTTTTTACCAAAAATGACAAAAATATTCACCAAAATTAGAGAATTAAAGATATCATCATGAAATGAACAAATCTGAGTTAGAACCACATGTAGTACCTATGTATGTAATATCAAAGCAATCGGACTTGCGGTTTTTAACACGAAGTTGAAAATATAACTTTTTACAAAAAATGACAAACATTTTCACCAAAATTAGAGAATTGAAGATATCATCACGAAATGAACAAATCTAAAAGAGGTCCACATGTAGTACCTATATATATAATATCAAAGTAACCGGACTTGAGGTTTTTTACAAGAAGTCAAAAATATCACTTTTTACCAAAAATGACAAAAATATTCACCAAAAATAGAGAATTTGAGATTTTGACATGAAAGAACCATCCAAGGTACTTGCATATCAAATTTGAAAACATTCTGACTTGCGGTTTCGAAGAAGAAGTTGAAATTGTAAAGCTGACGCCGCCAACGACGACGGATGACGGCAGACAATCAGTAATATGAACAGCTCCGCTGTGTCGACTTTGTCGACAGCGGAGCTAATAATACCAGTGGGCAATTTCCGTAATTTGCAAAAAAAAAAAAAAATCCAAAATGGGCACCTCAAAAAATGTAGCTCATATGCAATCTGATTAAAATCGTAGGGTACGGGCTTTAATTATTTTGGCTATAAACTTATTTTAATTTTATCTTTTATTACTTTTGTTATTAATGCCTTTTTATTTTATTATTTTACTTTGATTTTGAGATTTTTTTTAATTCCGCCCTACATACATCTGACCCGATGCCTATGTAACGAGATTTCAACGAGACCCACTATCGACGATTTTAGTCAACGAATCACAGACCTCCTTCTATAGCGCACATGATGATGTCACCGGGCAGAGTCAGGTGGCAAACATACTCAAATAAAATGGTGGATTATACAGACGTTAGCGACCGAGAAAAACACTGCTTTTCGGTAAGTTTATCATTGTCAAATGCAACGAAAGTCATTTTGTTATGTTTATATTGTGGCTCGAAAGGTTCGAGTTTAGATCGTTATTTTGCGTAATTATTCTGGGAGTGACGATTTTGTTTCCACCGGTTCAACCAAACACCGGTGTCTTTTTCCAGTTGCTTGCCCTGGAGACAGGTGATGTTTTGTTGACGGTCGGTTTTTAAAGTAACTGAGCTGATTTGGACTGGAATAAAATATTTTTTATTTGAAACACATCGCAATATTGATC